TGTCTAGACGGCGATAGGTGTCCATTTGCCCACTCGCCTTATCAACTAGCTCGTCCCAAGTCCTATCTATGCCCTTCTAAGGCCGGGTACTGTTGTGGTCGCAACCCATGTCCTTTCGCCCACGACGAAGCCGAGCTTGAAAAGTCCCCGATGCCGGTGATCAAGAGGCTCTGCAAGTACCTCGGTAGCTCTCATGGCTGCAACTTGGGCGATGGTTGTCGTAACGCTCACTCTCATGAAGAGGTCGTGTCTGGTATCCGAGTCGCTGGCTCTAATAGAGTCGATCTTAATAACGACTATGTTCTCTCTCTTTATCACGGCTGCCCTCAACAGAAGAGCACCAAGAAGTCCTCGGACGCTGCTGCGAGTCGTGCTGCGAACAGTATTGGTGGTCTCCGTATTGAGTCGTACGAGTCCAATCCCTCAGCCGATCGCTCTCCACCGCTCTGGTTGCCTCTATTGCATTCTCCTCTGGGACCTTCTACGCCTCAGAGCCACAATAGCTCTGATATTACTACTCCCTACGCTTGTCATATCCCTGATTCTATGAACCGCGCTATACTTGAGTCCGTCGCTGCCAGTGTTGTCGAAAACCACGTGCGCACTGTTGCTGTGGCTGATCTACTATCATGTCTGAGCTTTCTTATTGATAATGGCTTCGATTCGAAGGCTCTTAATGAGTCGCTTGTTGATTCTCTCTCTAAGTATGATGCCTAACAAGCGGATGCCGACTGCTGGGAAATCTATCACCGGTATTCGCGAGGTAGATTTTTTGTTAATAATTTTATGGTAGTTGAAGACTCAGCATTTTTTCTTTGTATTTAGTAGGTTGAAGTAATATGAACAGTAGGTTTGACGGACTTCTCAAGGGATCGCCCGGTCCGTCTGTCGACGGTCCGGGTTTTTTTGGTATCATCCGTATACTCAACTTCTGCTCATTTCGATATTTGGCGTAGTAGCTGCCATTAGTCTCGTGTGTGACTTCCGATGAGATTTTCTGACCCAGTCAGCTCGGTCACCCCATTGTCATTCGATGATTCATCATCGACGTGACGTTTGAAGTAACTCAGTCATATCCGTCTTTGGCATTGAGTTATAGAGGCTTCACATTGGTCTGCATTACGGGCATCTCAGAGTCGAGAACTTCACTCAACTGCCGCATAGCAGAAACTGCATATGAATTTGGTGGCTCTACGAAATGCTCATTGTAGCCTCTTCAGTTGAGCTCATGGGTCGCCGTCGATCAGACAGTGATTCGAGTCAGAGAGAGCTTTCAAGGCGGAAGAAGGGTCATCACAAGCATCGGCATCGCGACGATGACAGGGGTAAGATGAGGACTCTAATGTGAAATTTGCGTGGTATTTGGTCAGTATTGATTGTCATATATTCTTGTAGTGTCTAACATGAATTCTTACTGCCAATCTTGGTTGAAATATAATGGGAAAGTCACAAGGTTGAATTTTCATTGTCAATCTTGATTGTGACGTTGTTGAATTCTCGAAGTCAAACTTGCTTGTAACACTGTCATTCTTGCCTGCTCACTTGCATCGGAAAAGGTGCAGTAGATGACAAGCGTGAATCAGTGAACTCGTAGGTGAAGTTGTGAAGAAGGATAAGTCTCGGAAGAAGCACGATAAGCATCGTCATAAGAAACGCTCTCGTTCTCCGTCGGCCTCATCGAGTTCTGAGAGCTGCGAGAGAGTCTACTATGATGAAGAAAGGGTGGTGTCTCTCATACGAGATTGTATTCTGCATGATCCGCGGTCCTCGGGTAGGAGTAGATGGGCGTGGTTCAACCTCGAGGGGAATTTTGTGTATCTTCCAGGTGAGCTACTGGGCCTCTTCATCTCGCTCCATGATGGTGGGAAGATTAATATATCACAA